AATAACATTTTTATTTCGCACATAACAATTTAATAAAAAAAAAAAACAAAAACATTAATTAAATACTACAATAGCAATTATATAATTAAATCAATTATTTAATTAATAACAATATTATCTGTACGTTCACATATAAGATGAGTTGGACATTTACCTTGATAACTATCCCTTTCCAAAACGATATTTATGACCACAATGGCCACTTTCAAAGTTACAATAAAAGCTATTATCCGGACATTGACTATGATCTGTGCACGTGATCTCCTCACCGGGTATAAGGCCTCCATTGTACACAATCTTCGATATATCATGAATATCAAGCTTATGCGATTTGGATCCAGGTACTTTCTCACCAGGTATAGCCATAGTACGGGGCATGCCGTACGCGCACAGTATAATAGCCGCACATATAATCAGGGTATGAAATGATTTCATTTTTAAATTTTAAAACTTTGTTCACTTGCCTGCTATGACTGTATGAAAGTTGTCTATTAAATGAAAATATGTTAGTTTTACTCAATTGTAGTTCATTTCAACATGAAATTGACCAGAATCATGGCGATCATAACCATGGTCATTATATTAAGCTTATATTCGGTATAAGGAAATGAGGAGGGTGGAAAGTGTTTTGATCAAGATGATTGTGATTATCCTTTAAGTTGCAAGGAATTAATTTGCACTAAACCGGATAATCAAGCGGATAAATAAATTAACCTGGACTAATCGGTTTTTTGGATTTAATAACTTATGATTAATGTTTTAAGTTTATTTCGGCTTTTTTTAATATGACCATGTAATACTATTTGTAACTATAATTATGTAGTAACTTTATTTTTATGAATAATACAGTATTGCAATGTTTTGTAATAAAAAATAAAAATGATTTTTAAAAAATATAATTTTTTCTTTATTTAAAAATAAACTTTTTGTTATGTGAGAATTAATTATAATTTTAAAAATGTTTAAATATGTTAAACAAAAAAGCAAAATATGTTTAAATTATTTTTATTAATTATCAAACTGTCGTGAATAATAAAATTATTAGTTTTAAATTCATAACAGTTTTTTGTAATAAACCAAATTAGTTGGCTAAACAATAATTACACTGTTTACAAATATTTTTAAATGGCTTATTAAATAAAAATTAAACTTTTTATTATATGCAATGTTGTATTAATTAATATTGTGAAACAATTTTGTATTAATTAAAAATAATTTTAAAAACAACTTCCAAAATTTATTATTTACTTAATAGAAAATTATTTTTAAAATAAACATCTGTATAATCACTACACGTTTAGATAAAATAAATTTAATAATTTTAAAAATAAAGTTTACTTGTTCACTACACATACTAGACATTATATGAGCCGGTTGAAAGTATAAAGGCATCTAAATATTAATTAATTATGGTATTTCTAATTAGCTTATTGATTGCAATTTTAATACAATTAACATTTATAGTAATTAGCAACAAGCTCCTTTGCCTTATCCATCATACTATTAATCTCATCACAAGTCATAATGGGCTGACTAGTTGTTGTTGCCTGGGTTACCTGGGTAACTGTACTAAATAATGTTACAGTGGGCGGTAGGGTAGGGGGTGATGTTGGGCCAGTGGATGGTTCAGTGGGCACTGGGGTATCAGTGGTAGGCTTAACAGTAGGATCGGTAGACACTGTAGGTATAGTTGGTTCGGTAGGTTTATCAGTTGGCACAGGGTATAGCTGCATATCATGCTCAATCTGATCAATGACACTTTGTAGTCTAGTACAGAGTTGTGTGACATCCTTGTCCGGTAAGTGTTCCTGTTTAAGTAGGTATAGTAGGCCGTCCATGTCGTTCATAAGCTTAGCCCAGTGTTGTATTAATGGTTGATTTTTAACAGGGTCCAATCGTTTTAGTGTAGCTATGATGGTGGTTAGTGTTTGATCCAGTTCCTCCCCTTTCCGTATCAGCTCATCCCTGAGCTCATTGGCACCGGTAGCTTTAGGTTTTAGTAAAAAACAATTAGTCAATTTAAAAAATATTGGCTAGATCTTTTCATAATAAAGAACAATGATATGAACTTCCAACAATTATTATAGCATTTAAATATATAGGTTTAAATTAGTATTTAAATAAATGTTTACAGGTGTTTGTACAGTATTAGTATTAAAGTATTATTTGTAATTGATAATTATTATAATTTATTAAATAACCAATAATTGTATACTTACAAAATATCAACAATGAAATAAGTAAAACTTTTAATGTGACCATTATTTTAAGTAAATTAATTTTTATAAAATAATATTTTAATAATTGTAATTATGAAAATAAATACAGCTTGTTATAATAAATTATTTGTTATATAAATTAGTATTGTGATTTATATATTGTTTAGGTAACCAGGACAAATAGTAGTATTAACATAAACAATTATACCAGTATGTTTCTTAAGATACTATAGATAATTTACATTATAAATAAATATTAATTGCATATTAATCTAATTGTGTAGGCTGAATAGGATATTATAAATTTTAATTTGTTTTAGATAATCTATCATGTTTATAATAATAATGTTTATGTTTGCCGACTAAAAACTAAAGTTAATTTTAGATTTATATTAATTAAAATTTTAATTCAATTTAATTTGAAACATTTGCCAAATGTTGAGCTACCCTGTTTAATTAATTTGTTATTGTTAAATTCAATTATATATTTAAAATTTTTAATAATTAACATTATCTTATATTTTAATAATGTACTTTTTATTTAATTATTAACAAATCATTAACAAATTGATAAATAAATATTTCATAACTAAAATAAAATATACTTATAATTAATAAAATGTTTAACAAAACAAAATAATAAAATTAAAATTTAATATTAATATTTAAATTAAATACTTTTACTAGTATAAATTCTCATTTTAATACTATTGTAGTATTGCCTTATACAGTAACTAGATACATTTAAACAAATTAATACTATTAAGTAAGTGTAGCATTTCTAATTAGATCCTCAATCAAAGTCTCCATAGACTTAACATCACCGGTAATATCCGTAATGTCTTTCCAATAGGTGTCCACACTTTTAGCTATTTGTTGCAAACGTTGTGAGGTTTTCATCAGCTTATTAGCCTCGGTATATCTACCATGGTCATTCAACTTGGTCACAGCGGCATCGGCTTGTGGTTTTAGATCCCTGGCCTTATCCATCATACTCTGTATCTCATCACATGGTATAATAGGCTGACCTGTTGTCCCATGAGTGCCCTGGGTAACTGTGCTCAGGGTAGATATAGTGGGCGGTAAGGTAGAGGGTAATGTTGGGCCAGTGGGTGATTCAGTAGGCACTGGGGTATCAGTAGTAGGCTTAACAGTAGGATCAGTAGCTTTGGTGTGTATAGTAGGTAAGGTAGGCTTTTCAGTAGGTACAGGGTATAGTTGCATATCATGCTCAATCTGAGCAATGACACCCTGTAGTTTAATACATATTTGTGTGACATCCTTGTCCGGTAGGTGTTCCTGTTTAAGTAGGTATAGTAGGCCGTCCATGTCGTTCATAAGCTTAGCCCAGTGTTGTATTAATGGGAGATTTTTAACATGGTCCAATCGTTTTAGAGTAGCTATAATGGTGGTTAGTTTTTGATCCAGTTCCTCCCCTTTCCGTATCAGCTCATCCCTGAGCTCATTGGCACCGGTAGCTTAAGATTTTTAAAAAAATTTTAAATCTAATTTAATTTTATATTTATAAAACATTACTGAACACAATACCCAGTTGAATTTACAATATTTTTATTTTAATGTACTAATAGTAATTTAAATAACTATTTACAACTTGTATAGTATGACAAACATTAAGGTAATGATTATCAAGCAAATTATTTGTAATATTATTTGATTTGTAAATAATTATAATTAATAATTGTATACTTACAAATTAGTAATAATGAAATAATTAAAAACTTTAAAGTAAGCATGGTATTAAATTAAATATTATGCATAAATAAGATTTTATAAAAAGTCTAAATTATTAGTACTAAATATAAAATAATAAATGTTTAAAAAATAAAGTTAGACTGATTTTGATATGTGACTTATATATAGTTTATGTAACCAGGGCAAATAAAGTACTAACATAAACATTTATAAAGTATATTTCTTAAGTAATAATAGATAATTAACATTACAAATAAATATTAATTGCATTATCTAATTGTGTGGGCCGTCAGGTTCAGTCATAATAAGATATTATAATGATATTAAAAATATTATTATTTGTTCAAGATAATTATCAAAATTTTGTTATTATTAAAGTGCTATTATTGTTGTTTAAAAAATTAAAAATAATATTAAAGTATTTATTAAATATTAAAGTTTCTAAAACACATTATTTTGACAATTATTAATTATACATTTAATTAACTTGTCTAAAACATATTTGTTATAACAAAATAAACCCATAGTTAAAATTAATTACTGTGTACTAGTTTAGTATAAAAATTACATTACAAAACACTGTACCATGGCTAATAATAAGCTAGTTTGTAGTGTCATTGTATTGTGTATAACCTTGTTGATTATGGATCAAGTAGTTGAACCCGTTTATGGTGGGCCAACCTATGTACCATGTAAAAATGACGCAAAGTGCCAGGCTTACAATTCAGATACCCGTAAATACAAATGCCTACGCGATAAAAAGAAACCAATATGTGGTGAAATTAGAATTACTGACTATGACTAACCCTGATACTAATAAAGTTATGATAATAAAAAGTACATTTAATGTTATTGATTTATTTGACACTACTTTGTCTGTGTAATTAACTTTAAAAACATTTTTTTATGAATTTGTAATAAACTTTTTTGAACTAAACTTTGTTACTTTTTTTTAATAATAACTTTTTAATACTAATTAAATTACCGTGTATACTTCAACTCTATTACTTTCATTTAAGATAATTAATATTATAAAACAATACCCGGGTCACAAATTAAAGCAGTTTATATATACCTGTACATTTTGATTGTTTATAACTTATAAGTCTCACAATTACTAGTACTGTATAACAAAATAAAAATAATAAAAATAAAACTTAAATTTTAAACTCTAAAAGTATTTTTAAAAATCCCTAAATGCTTATATTATTATAAATAAAGTACACACAAACTGGCTCATTTTCTAATTGGTTTATTTATTTCAAAAATTTATAAATTGACAATTGATACACAAATAGCAATCAATGTGTTTTCATTCAAATAGCATTTCAACGCTATTGTAATTTCAAAAAATAAATCATTAATTAGTGGTAGACTTGCAACTGATTACAGCCTCCTCGCCCACCGCTGACATGACAGTTACCTGGGTATAGAAAAAATAGTAAACAAGGTTATAGTTAACACCACAATTTACAGTACATTAGATGACAGTCAATAGTGTGAAAAGTTTATTTAAACTCTACTTTCATTAGTTTTTGGTATTAAGACATTCATTAGTGAGCAGTGTTTGTGTAGACCTTTGACTACTAAGTCTATACATTAGCCTCATATGAGGTCAACTAAAATGAAAAGTATATTAAACTTCGCTTTTTAATGACTGTAACTACTGTTTATCATTATAAGTGTCTTTGGAAACCTGAGTTTAATGTGCTTTTTGTGCTCATAGATCAGAGAGAGAGAGAGACTGCGAGAGAGTATATGTTTGTGAGAAACTACAAGAGAGCTAACGATGTGAGAGAGAGAGAGACTGCGAGTGAGCTATTAGTGAGTATTACTAGTGTTTTATTAGAAATTAAAATCCGAGAGAGAGAGAGAGAAAGAGAGAGAGAAGGAGAGAGAGAGAGAGAGCTATGGCATAAACATACAAAAATAGAGTTCTCATCCTGGTTGTCAAACTCCTCCTGAATCTTGTCGCCCAACTCGCCCTCCGGGAGCTTCAAGTCCTGACGGGTGTCCCCCTTGTCGTTCATGAGACTGATATACCCGTCCGACTGGATGTCAATGAGCTGTGGATATCACATAGAAATAGTTAGCTAGCTAATTGCATTATGTACAGTATGTGTATCACAAACACACTCACCTGGTACTCAATGCGGCTCACGTTAGGCACGTCTATGTTATGGGTCGACGGACACAGATCCTCGTACTTCTTATTGGTGAATATGTCGATGCCCACCAAGTGAACCTGGTCATATAGGTAATCATAATTAATAAAACAATACACAATAAGGCAATACAGGTAATAGTAGTGCTATACATCATTCATGGTAACATGCATTAACCGCTCACTGCAATAAGGGCCTATCTACAATAGTATACTGGTACGTAATGCGCCCCTATTGCAACCAGCGTGTTTTTTTAATCAAAAAATGTGTGTACGTGTACTGGTACAATGAATTAATTAAATTCATCTAGCTTACCTTGGCGTGTCCATGCTTGCCGGTCTTGGACGTTGACATCTCGACCACCTTACAGGGCCGGGCCTTAATCATAACGAAGCCATTCTTGCGTAACGCCGAGCACTGCACGGGATAGGTAGCCGAGGCACCGGACCCACCACCCCCGTGATACTCATCGTCTCCATCGCCCTCCATGTCTACTGTAATATATAGATCGGGATGAGTTAGTGGTCACACAACAAATATTAGGTACCTGTAAACTCAAGTTTGGCTCAAAAGTGGTTTTTGAAAACACAAAAGTGATTGTGATTTACGCTATGAATGCTCAGCAAAATGACACCATTGATGGCTGGCTATGGAGGTATGGCTATGTGAATGTGTGGGTACATGTGCTATCTAATAGTAGTGTAGTTATTAGCAACCTAGATAATAACTGGTTTTTAGTGAGTATTGTGTATGCGCGTGCACACAAATTACGTGCACTTTTTTATGTACACACATTTTTGTGTGAATGAGGTATGTACATAAATATTTAGCTTATATCCATACATTGTAATAGGTTACAAAAAGTTTATTTATTATATAGTTTGTTTAATTATACATGATTAGTTTATTAATTTTTTATTTTATGTAAATATAGTTAGCGTACAAATTATAATTATATTTATAAAATAGGCGTTTACGTAGCTAGATGAGTTGCAAATGTACTCGTACAGGCCATTTGTTTGGCAATAACTTTGGTTGTATACTATTTTCTCACTCCACCACCAATTGCCGTTAATTTCTAAATTAATTAGCCGCCAATTAGCTTGCTCAAATTCCCGGTACTCCCAATAGTCGCATTTTTTCTAATTAAAAAGTATTTTTAAAATTATTAACTATGTTATTTATTATTTTAATTGTAAATTTAATAGTTTGCATGCTAAAAAGTTATCATTATTAATAATAATTATGCAGTATGCTTATTAAATTAAATTAATTACTTTTAATTTACCCTGTAGTTATGTTGGAAGCACTCAAATAACTCATACAGCCCGCAACAGTAATGATAAATATTTTGATCAAGCTTAGTTACGTAATACTCGTCACAAACAGTGTTCATTTTATCCAGGCAACTTTCTATAGCTTGGTGAGTTAAATTATCGGGAATACTAATTGACCATGATGTCCGTAACTCATCATCATCATCGACAAATAAATCTTCAAGGTCAAATGATTTAGATTTTGCATGGGTGTCATTAATAAACATTATAATTATTATGAAAATTATTATAAAATTCATGTTAAATAAAATAGTTTTTAATTAACAATTAATAATATATGCTATAACAATAATAAAACCTTGTTTATAATTTACAAACTGATAGTGTGTATTATTGTATACAATTATAATTTATATAATGATTTGTCACATGAATTACTGTATTGCCTATTGTCTAGTGAACTATAGACTTATACTGATAACTTGATTAATTATATCAAAGGGTTTAAGATTAACAATGAGACAGACTGATATTGCTGTATTATATACGGCATTACCTATGTAATAAAGTTATAAATACACAAATAAATAAGTTATTTAAAAAGCATACAAACATAGTAAATTATAATTTATAAACATTATTATTATTGAAAAAAATTAAACTTAATTTATTATGTGTATAATGTATAACATTATGTTTTATGTTAAAAGGTATTGCATTTATAATTTACTAATAACTTAATAAATAAATTAATTTTTGTAATTTATAAATATAATTACTATTTGCGTACTAATTGATTAAATAATTTTCATTACCAAACAACGTGTAATTTTATTAATACTTCTAGACCTTTTTAAGTTTATAAATTATTCAAACTTACCTGGTAATTGCATTTTGTAAATTAAGTAATTTAATTCATGCATAATCAAATAAAATGTAAACTAATATTATAAGTATAAAATGTGGTTTTATGTAGCTAGCTGAATCGCAACTAAATTCATACAGTCCCCTGTTTTGACAATAACTTTGGTTATAAACAATGATGTCTTTCCACCACAAACTGCCACTTATTATTTGCAAATTAATTTGCCACCAATTAGCCTGCTCAAATTCCCTGAACTCCCAGTAATCGCATTTACTCTAATTTAATTAAATAATTAATTAATTAGATAAACTTATAACAACTAATTTGTAAGTGTGCTAAAATAAATTATAAACTATTACTATTAAAAACATATCTAACCTATGTTATTAAAATATTAGCTATGTTACATATATTTAGTTATAATTATACAATTAAACTTACCCGGTAGTTTTGTTCAAAGCAATCAAATAAATCATACAGCCCGCAACAGTAATGATAAACATTTTGCTCAAATTTAGTCGCATAGTACATTTCACAAACATCGTACATCTTATCTAGGCAAGTTTCTATAGCTTTACGATTTAAATTATCGGGAATACTGACTGACCATGTTGTGCTTAGTTCACCATCAGGATCATCATCACTGGCAAATAAATTAAATAAATCAGATAAGTCACCATCGGATGAAAATACACTTCTAGACCTAGATGAGCTTGACCTAGACCTAGGTCTAGACCTACTGGACCTACAGGTGTAAAAATATGTTAATATTTACAAACTAGTAGTGACAACACTATTAAACATTTATTACATTTATCTAAACATAAGTTTAATAATACTTATTATATTTTCTAGGTAATTATAAAACATTTTAATAACTAATATAACTAAAGTTTAATAAATTAAATTCATGAACAGTGATCAGGGTTAGAATAAATGTAATAATTGTTTAGGGTACATACCCGGAACGTCCCGATTTAGACTGTTGGTATGTATTTGTAATACAACTCATAATTATTATACATATTAATGTAGTTTTCATTGTAAAATTTATTTAATGTTTAATTTTACATCACACACAAAATATTTCACGGTACACAATAAGACCTTGCTTATAATTTACAAGAAATATCATTTTGAGTAAACACACATTATACTTAATCATTATCACATGAAAAAATTACTACAAAGATATATTTATAAAAAAATTATGAAATGTTATTAGATTATTAAATTACAAAGTAGCAATGAAATAGTCCATACAGTATAAAATCTGTATAATTTCGCATATTACAAAAATAAATATCCTTGTTTAATTGAATTAATTTATAATAAATTAAATATCTATTGTATATTTTATGTAATATAATAATATATTTACATAATTAACTTTATTTTTACTAGAAAGGTAATTTTAAATAAATTCACATTACACAACAAACGTTTTACATAAAAATCAATACTGTATTATAATGTACTGTAAAGTTTAGTTCATACGTGAAATGCTAATAGTTTTATCACCCACGTAAATCATTACATTGATTTTATATAACATACTAATATCACGAAGTTACCAATGTAAATTTATCTGCATAGTAATGATAATTTATCGCAAATATGTTCGTAATGTTTACACACACAATAACAATCCAATGTTAAAAAGGATAACATATTTTGTATTTTCAAATATTATGATATATAAAATATGATTTAACAAGTTAATAAAACTATTGTTAAAGTTATTATTTCTAAAATTCTAAAATATTGATAAGTATTATATACTAATCATAATATGAATTTATTATAATTTATTTAATTTGCTACAAATATAATAAATTTTAATGCAAGTTTTGATTTTAAATTGACGTGATAATTGTTTTATTAATGACATATATAATTTACAAACAGTGATAAAATATAAATCATAAATAATAACATGGCCGATGATTTAATGTTACCAGCTGCACAAATGTCCTCGGTAAATCCTTTATTTTGGCAATAACTCTGATTGTACACACTGTACATCCAAAATAGGCGTTGCATTTTCAAATTTATTTTCCGCCAATTAGCCTGATCAAATTCCCGGTACTCCCAATAATCACATTTGCTCTAGTACCAAAATATGCTAATTATAAATTAATAATGTTATTTTAAAAATTAATTTACCCTGAAATTATGTTCAAAACAGTCATATAAATCATAAAGTTTGCAGCAATAATAGAAAATATTTTGATCATAGTGAACTTGGTAATACTGTTGGCATACAGGCCACATTTTATCCGTGCACGATTGTATTACTCGGTAATACTTATTAATAGCTTGGGGTATTTCAATTGTCCAGGATGTTTTATCATCCTCATCATTGTCATCATCATCATCATCATTGAAATCCTTATCAAACACAGATGACCCAGAACCTGATTTGGTAGATATAACATCAATAAACAGTACGAATGTAATTAGTACAATTTTAGTATTCATTCTAGGTGTAAATAAAAATTAATTTATAAATTAATCAATTTATAATTTAAATTGTGAAAAGGACATTTAATGTAAATATATTGCTGTTTATTACACCTCATACACTGTACTAAATAACATAAGTTAAAACCAATTTTAATGATAATAACTTTGGTATCACTAATAAAGATAATAATGTCTGTAATGTTGTGTGAATTATGATAAAGTAATAAACTAAACTAAAATCAGAGGTATAAAAATATTAATCATTTGAAAAAACATATACAGTAATATATAAACGTTAAATTACCATCATAAGTATTAGGATTTACAAAAGTTTTGGCACATTATATCATTAAGTTACCAAAACATATTAATTTAAAAATATTGCAAAAATAAGCATAGTATTTAATATGATAAAATATGGCATATTGTTGCTAGATTCATTAAAGTTTGATTCGTGGTGTCCATTATTTTCGCAGTCACGTTGGTTGTATGTGGTCGAGCTCCAAAAGCTCCTTATAATCAAATTGACCTGTCGCCAATTAGCTTGCTCAAATTCTTTATACTCCCAGTAATCGCACACACTCTATTAAGATAATTAAATAATTAAAATAGTATAATTAACTTAATTTTATAAATATAATAAAAATTTAAATTAAACTTGCTATTTTTATCAAATTTTAAGTTACCTTGTAGTTTTGTTCGTAGCAGTCAAATAAGTCGTAAAGTTTTGAGCAGTAGTAATAATCATCAGGACCATGCTTAATCTCTATATAATCATAACACCGTTTTTCCATTTTATTCATACACGATTCAATAACTTGGCTATCATGTTTTAATTGATCCGGGATAACAATTTCCCACTTCAATTTGGGAATGCGAGCAGATCCACAATCATAATTAACCAGCAACATAAGTGTTAATACCAATTTGAGAATCATAGTTGTCAATTTTCAATCAGTTGTCAACATAGTTGTAAAAAATAAATTAATATTAATATTAACGCAAGTTTTTTAAGCTGGTTACTTTTGTAAAATAGTATATTACACGGGAAGTTGATTTTTAATTAATTAGTTTCATTATATTTTGTGATTTGTTTTACTGTTTCACATATTATAAGACATGTCAATTGACGTAAATTAAAAGTATAGTAAATAATAAAATAACAAAAATACTTCTTATCAGGCAAACTTCTAGTAATTTAAGTATAATATTGTATTGGCTTTATCATGAATAAACTGATTAAAAATGTGTTATATAATTATAAGGCAAACAAATAAAACATATTACATAAAAAGTTAGCTATTTTTACTCATTTATAATAATTGTAAATAATTATTAATAATCTTATTGTGAGATATAAAGTAATAAACAAAACTACAATCATTGGTATTGTATAGAAAATCTAAATCATTTCAAAAAATATAATTTATAGAAATTTCAGCATAATTATCAAGATTTACTAAAGTATTGGCACAATATATTTTTAAGTTACAAAAATATAATTAAAAAATAATACAAAAATAAGCATAGCAACTAATATTATAAAATATGGCTTAATGTTACTAGATTCATTGAATTCATTCATTTTTGTTTTGTAGTGTCCAGTTTGTTCACAATCACTTTGGTTGTACATGGTGGTGTCACAACGTCTACTTCTAACCAAATTGACCTGTCGCCAATTAGCTTGCTCAAATTCTTTATACTCCCAGTAATCGCACACACTCTAGTTAGGTAAGAAAATTATTAAAATTTTATTTTGACTTACCTTTGTAAATATTATAAAATGTAAAAATATATTAAACTTATTTTGACTTGTATCAAATATTAAGTTACCTTGTAGTTTCGATCGTAGCAGTCAAACAAGTCATAAAGTTTGCCACAATAATGACATTTATCTTGATTATCCTCAATTATGATATAATTATCACATTTTTTCCACATTTTATTTGCACATGATACAATAACTCTGCTATAATGTTTTATTTTATTAGGGATACACATTTTCCATTTCAAATATGATTTTGAATTCCAGCTTATGTATCCATGCATATAAGTAACCAGCAACATTAGTGTTAATACAGATTTAATAAACATACTGAAGTTTCAAATTTTTATAAATATTATATAATTATTTTAATATTGACGTAAGTAATTACGCTTGTAACTTTTATTAAATAGTACATTACACGGGAAGTTTACTTTTAATTAATCAGTTTACTTATATTTAGTAATTTGTTTTACTGTTTCGCATATCATAAGACATGTCAATTGACGTAAATTAAAAGTATAGTAAACACTAAAATCACAAAACAGTTCTTATCAGGGAAACCTCCAATGATATAAGTATAAAATCATATGAGTTTTATCATTAATAAATTCAATAAAATGTTATACAATTTAAACACAAACAAATAAAACATATCTATTAGGTTTCGTACAAAGTTTTGCGAGGTAGATTTTGCAGCTTAAAAATTAAATTCTCAACAACCAATATTGGTATCAAAAATATTTTTGAACCTCAACTATAGTTTTTGCTGTACGTANATGATTGGGTACTGGAGGGATGACGTTAAGACCCGGGAGGTCATTGATGAATGTGGTTGGTATAGAACAGGGTCAGTGCAAAATCTATAAATTAATAATCTAACGTAACAAGGGTTATTTTAGAAACCAATTTTGTTTCAAAATATAAATAGTTTATAATTTTGTGGTTCAATACTGTAATTGATATTTAGTGACCTTGTTGTGATGGATAGCCAAGGTTATATGAAAATCATTGGCCGAATAAAGGATATCATAGTGAGGGCGGGTGAAAATATATACCCCCAGGAGGTGGAGGATGTTTTGGACAAAAATCCAGCCATTTTAAAAGCTTATGTAAGCTTGCTTATTTAAGATGCTAATTAAAAATATTAATATTACAACATAATATAAATATAATTTAATTTGCATTGTACTTTAATAAAAAAAACTTGTGCATATAATTTGTAATATAAATATAAATATAAATTGTATTATATTTAATATCCACTCAATGGACGGACAGGTATGCGGAGTTCCTGACGATAGGATGGGCGAAGAGGTGTGCGCGTGGATTAAGCTCAACGATAACCCGGGTGATAAACTTAATGATCAGGAGGTGAAACAGTATTGCAAACAACGGGTATATTATTAAAATGAAAAATTAACATAGTGATTGTAATGTATTAGGTTTCGTACAAAGTTTTGCGAGGTAGATTTTGCAGCTTAAAAATTAAATTCTCAACAACCAATATTGGTATCAAAAATATTTTTGAACCTCAACTATGGTTTTTGCTTTTACGTATTCTCCCGAAGAGACTACTTTATTAGAGCACCGGTAGCTCGGCACAGGTAGGTTTTACGTACAGCAAAAACTATATGTCCTAGAAAGACAAGCGACACATCGATGGAAAGAGCATAAAAAATGATCGAACCCGTCTATCGGGATTTCCCTGGTAAATTGATCAATAAAGAACAGGAAGGCCCGGTAAAAAGGAATTGTGAATAAACTAAAGATAAATAAAAATATGTTTAAATCCGACTAGACTATCTTAATGTGCTTCAAAAGGAGATAAGTTTAGCATTTTAAACTTTTAAGATATCTTGAAAAATAACTAATCTAGGGTTAATCAAAATCCTTATGTTTTACAAATTCATTTCTTCGGGAGAATACATAAACGCAAAAATCATAGTTGAGGTTCAAAAATATTTTTGATACCAATATTGGTTGTTGAGAATTAAGCTTCAAAGTTTACCTCGCAAAACTTTTCGCGAAACCTAATATTATCCGAATACGAGTACAGATGGCAAAATACAAAGTGCCCAGGTACATCATGTTCGTGGGGCAGTTCCCGTGCACTCCGGCCGGTAAAGTGAAAAAGTATTCGATGAGCGAACAGTCGTGCCTTATGTTGGGTCTCACGGATGTCAACAACAATTTGGAGGTCCTTTAAATTGATGATTGGGGTGCACTTGCTTACATGATATTTACATATATTTAGTGAACAACTTTATATAATGTACGCTAAACTTAATGTTATAATTACAAACACATTTTTTATTATATTATTAATGCTTATTAGCGTATTGTAACCAAATAAACACACTGCTATTGATACTAGCACTTTGTAGTTAATACTTATAATAAAAGCATTATTTGAGTGTTATTTAGAATATACCTATTAAGATTTTATTTAATTATAAAGAGCACAAATTTTTCATTTAAAAACAATTGTCTTTACTTTTGACTGATTTGTGTTTCAAAGTCATCAATAGTTTCATATTTACGTAACGGGAAGAGAGAGTGTGTCGTGT